TGAATTTGAACAATTGAGAATCTAGTCTTTGGTTTCTCAGGCATACCAAGCATTTTAGATTCAAAGCAAATCAGTCTAACGCTCAGTGGGCTGAAGCCAAGGTTGTATTTTCCCTGAGACGAATCATAACAGCTGCCAAAACATCCCTATTGCTCTATTCCAAGCAAGAAGTAGAAGACGAAGATGGGCTATACATGTCTGTTTTATGCTCCTTCTCATTTGCAGGTATGTCATCAATTGCCAAATCCCCCCCCCACGTCATCCTCCAGTTTCTCTCCCCATTTCTGCCTGTGACTACAGAGGCCCTGCATCTTGACATTGCACTCCAGCTTCTCCGTGCTGGAGGCCCCATCTTACAGAATGTCATGTCMGCACTTTGACTGTGACTGCCCTGGGATGAAATGGCACCAATATTGGTGACAAGCTGGGCTTCTGGTTTTACTCAGGAGGATCATTAACCATCTTTAWATAAATAAATCTCTGCTGCTACACATTGTACAATCTAGAACATGTGCCTCTGTGACTTTTGATGTGAGGCTTATGTTTAAAACCATTGTTTGTTTGTTTTTTCTGCCACCTATATCAGCATGCGTTATGATTGATTCTTCAGGACCTTGGTTTCAGTCTCTATAAGAGCCTATTCTTCAAAGCCCCCAAACTTAATATTAAATGATATCGCCTGTCATTTAAGCCAGGTCTATCCAAACACATCCTTCAATGTGGAAATCATCCATCTCGTTGTATATGTGTGTGTGTGCATGTGCATGTGTGTGTGTGTGTGTTTCTATATAAACAGATTTACATAGAAAACACCTTACATTTGTGCTGGACTTCATAACTTGCTTGACCCATTGGCATAGCAACTTGAGCCTTTAATTAATTGTTTCCTCTTTCAAAATTCTATTCCTCAAACCGAATTAGGCAGCCCCCCTTTGGGCTGCCTWAGTGATACTTAAAGGGGCCATTGCATAAATAAAGGCATCCCTTTGATCACCAACTTCATGATCACTAAAATGTTGATTACTCAGCAATGGGAAGAAGCACCATCATCTATGGGCACCTGGGAACTGGTTCTACTTTATTCTTCCATGAGGCTATGGTTTGACCAATGCTAACTGTGTCAAAACCTGAAGAACCTGAGGAGTCTCGCCATCTTCTTGAAGTGGTTACAGTGAGTGTTTGTATGAGATTTTCTGGAGTGTGGTATAAGCCCTGAGAATACATAGGCAGTATTCCAGTAGGAAGTGAGTTTTTCTTAACATGGTAAAACTCTGTTATGTGAGGATGAAATCACCAGCAGTTGCATGCCCAGTCAAGGACTCTTCTCCTGCTCCAAGTCTCCATCTCTTTGGTTTCCATTGTTTCAGAGTATCTGGATAAATAAAATAGGGACTTCATCCACTCTGGAGTGTGTGGGTGTGCTTGTTGGTATGGGTTCTCCAAGTATCCGCACATAACTCATCTGAGTAAACCTACCTTCATACTGTGCTGAAATGTTCTTTGTCCCCACATTTTTTTTTCTCTGAAATCTAAGCGGAGAATAAGCACCGTAACTACTCGTCTTAATGTCATTGTCCCTCTGCTTGTAAATGTCCTGGTGTGTAGTAGATTCTCAAATATTTAACTGAATGGGAAAATATCAGCCATTATATAGGACTTCATGCATTAAAGTTCTTAATATTCCTTATTTTATTTGAGTTTTGCCTCTAGCGGCTTTTAGCTATGATTTCACAGAATATTATCGTTCTTGAGCTGAACTAAAGGCTTCTGCCTTTAAAATCAGAGTCTTTTCTCAATTACTTGAAAGAAATACTAATGAATAGCATTTTCTCCAATTTTTAACTTCCTTCCCATCCTATATATATATATATATATATATATATATTTTTTTTTTCCTTGAAAGCTTTGACTTCTATTGTAAGGCTATATCTAGCTTCGCACAAAATTAGATTTTACTATTTTCATTGACATATCATTCCATGAAAATTAACTTGCCTTTCAGAAGTTTAGATATTTGAGCAGAGAATGCTATTCGCAACAAGACCTATTTCTTCTTTCTCATGGGGGTAGGACGGGGAAGAGGGTGGATTGTCTGCCTGTAATTACATAATGGGTAGTGCCACGTGCTAGGCATTCCTTGTGTTTTATTTCCACCTCCCATCAGCTCCATGATATGTTATTACTAGCAGGTTTTAAGCAATGAGACTGTGTCACAGAGCAGTTCAAGCCTAATGTCACAGAACCAGCCAATGGGAAGGTCAGATCATTTGACTCAAAAACCCATTGCCCTGTCCACATGACAGTTAGTGGTATTAGCATCAATTGTCTATTGTTAAATTGTAAACTCCTTCAATGCAGAGGTTATGTTCATTTGTCCCATGGAAGGGAGGTCTCCATAAAACTGGATGGATTTGTCTACTCCTTATTTTAGTTAGCTCTGTTTGGGAAACGTGACTTCTATGTATATCCAAGCATGGACCCAGATCATCTTCAGTCCTTGCCATTATTTGCCTTCCATTATACACCACAATGTATCTCACTGTCTTTAAGCTGTAACTCAGTCTCTTCCTCACAGCCACCCTCAAACGGGGGTTGGTGATTGGAAAAATAATACGAGGAAAAGTTGTTAACTCTCTGAGATAACAGTTCATATTTTAAAATGCTCRTTATTAATTCCAATATGGAATAATTTGCACTTGCTATTAACACATTAAGACAGCCAAAGAAAATGGGAAAGTGTCTCAACAGGAGACATTCAAATGTGAAGTTAAAAGAAAAAAAAAAAAAGAAACAGAAGAAAACTTTTTTCTGATGAGCTAAGGGTATGTTGAAGATCTAGCCATCATACAGTTTATTTGTGTGGCTTTAGGGTTTTTGCTTTTATGTGTTAATTATTAATAAAATTAATTTTCAACACATCAATAAAAATGTGAATTCTGTACATAGTAATGGCCACCATCTCCTCCTTTTAAATGCCCCAATAGATGATGCACTGGTGCAAAACTGAACTATCACCTTCTGGGAAGTCATACTAATACTGTAGCATATTGATTGAATTCACAAAGCTGAATGTGTTCTACTTTAAAAATATGTCTTTAAGAAAGATAACCTTTTGTCATTAAAATAAAGATGGATAGTGTGACAAGACATGGGCATATATCCTTAAAGTTAAAGAAAACTATCTACAAAAGTTCTTTTTAAAAAGAGTGTTTATTAACCAAGAAAAATCTTGTTATAGGCACATATTCATATGACATACATAGGTATATGTCTCAGCTGAAAAACCATTATAACCAAAATTGTCCCTAAGATTTCCATTTCTGTGCCTCTAAATTAACTTGTTTTTGACGATAAGGAAACACATTGGTGACCCATGGCATTCCTTATTTTTTGGTTATTTGTCTTGTCCATTTTAGGATTATTGAGGTATACTGTCCTGGTCAGGTTAAATGCTTGGGGAAAAAGCCAAAGTTTGATGGAGTTTTCTCCATTTTCTTTGTGATTTTAAAGATAACAGGTGCTTCTGAGGGTACTGCACCCAGACTGACATGTTCAAAATTTCATGTTGCTAGTAATTCCAGAGCTTAGACTGAAAGGAGTTTGTTCTTCAGATCACCTGAAAAAGGRGAAAATACTGTGTGAGACTAGATTTCTTAGTACATTCTCTTGCTTTTTACTCTTGTTTTTTTTTCATATTTTATTTAGGAAAAGATTTGCCAACCATACAATTATAGGTATGACAGTTGCTTAAGAAATTTTGGAGATGGAGATGGAAAGGGTGGGGAATAATGTAGGGCTATAGCCATTAATAAAAAAGAAAGGAATGGGAACTTAGATATAATAATACCTTCCTGGCATGGTGTCTGTATCTTGAGTAGCATGTTAATTTCTGATTATGAAATAACTTACATTTCAAAAACCAACTCCTATCTGGACAAGGATGAAAAATATTAACAATTCTGTGTTTTGTACAAAACAAGAATGTTGATATACATATAAAATCAGTTTTATACATAACTTAAAATATAGATGATAAATGTTCCTTTAAGCTGCAATAGCTTCAGAGGTTTGGGAATTATTTTCAGAATATTGATAAATGGGAAATTGCATTTCAACTCTTTTCAAGTCTTTTCCCAAAAGCACACAAATAAAATGTTAATTTTTATGTGAAAGTGATTTTTAAACCGCAAGCAGATTTAAAAACTTTTTTAAGGACTTTTCTCATAGTGGCCAATTTCATATAAAATGTTATTTTAGGCCTAATTGCAAATGGAGTAGTTAGGCTGCCAGCTCTGCTAAGGTTGAATTTCATTTGAACTTTCTAATAGTATGATCTTTTTTTTTCAGAATTTAATAACTGACTCAAATATTTAATAGTGGAAGCCTTTATTAAATTAAAAAGAAATCAGGGTATATTTTTAGAAGAACTAACTTATTTTCTTTATCAATTTTATCTACTTTGAGAGAAAGGAAAGTGAATGGAACCAATCTCTTTGTGTACTTAAATAGACATTAATGCTATGACCCCAGCAAATAATTTATTTCAGGATGTATCGTTGTTCAAAAGATTTCAGAAGCACCAAATGGCAATAATAACTACACTTCTAGCTCTACTGAATGGCAATTTAGACTGACTGTATGAACCTCTTCATTTGTCTTCTGGATAATCATTCTTTTTAATATTCACATATATTTTCTAGATCCTTTTTAAAATTGCCCACTATCCACGTGTGCATTGCCTAACAGTTTTTGTTCAATGCAATGGCTTGTTTTGAAATTCAAGTGGGGGGAAGATGAGAGTTGAAAGATTTTGTTTGCACATGTCACTCTGTATACAGATGACAAAAGATCATTAAATTCACTAATTTACAAGCATCCTTAGAAAGAATATTTTTACATAAAAGCATGTTGTAAACCTTTTTAATTAAAGCACAGTTGTGCCATGTACTCTCTTTCCCCCAGGGCCCTTTTGACCTCTCACCTCCTATTTTGTCTTGCAGGCACTCCAYTGCTGGTGAGGAGAAGCAGTGACCCAGCTCCAGGGCCACCTGCTGATGCCCAGCCAAGCTCTTCACACCCCAGTGGCCAGAGTCTGAAACCTGTTGTTTTAGTAAGTATCCTGCCCTTTGCATTTCTACTAAGAGATCAAAGTCCTTACCCATAGACTAACTGGGGCTTTGCAGTCTRGAAAGGAAATTAATAATTAGAAATCTTTTGCAAAGATATACAGTGGTAGTTATAATAGTACAATCTATTAATAGTACATAGGTGCGGTGTGGGCCATTATATATAGTATCAACTATGTGCCAAACTCTGTTTTCAGTGTTGTTCAGTTGTCATCTAAACTTCTGCTTCAAGGTTAARTTTTTATCTTCATTTTACTGATAAAGAAATTGAAACAGAAGGAAGTTTAGAAATTTGTTGAAGGCAACATAGGAGATGGCAGAGCCAGGAAATTAACCCAAGTGATCTGGCTGAAAAGATCATGCTTTGTAGCCAGATGTGGTAGCACACACCTGTAATCTCAAMGGCTTAGGAGTCTGAGGCAGGAGGATTTGAGGTCATCCTRGGAAATTTACTGAGACCCTGTCTCAAAATAACATCAAAAAAAGGCTGGGGTTATAGCTCATATGCAGAATGTTCCTGAGTCAATTCCGGCATCCCCATCTCCTGCCACTGTCACCCCCCATTCACAAAAGAACAGGCTTTGAATTTGCATGCTGTACCACTGCATGTCCTTCATCCTGTGGCTTCAAAATACCCAAAGATGAAGTCTACATGTTTTTTCCTCTAATAACACAATGCTTTGCAAAGCCATATCAGGATAAATAGTAATACAGTTTCACATTTTCAATGTCATGAATATGTGCTGTGACTATTAGATTTCTAGAATCCATCATAAAACTAAAATCCAGATAAAAATAAAATTATATACYCAAACTCCTTATAACCAGATATACTTATAACTGCTATACTTACAATCCATAGGTTAAATGGAGAATAATTTCCTGAAGAGATTACATCTTCCTTCCATATAGAACTGTGGGATCTTTATGCTAATTCCTACTTGCTTTGAAAAGTTGTAATTGAACTTCATTCATCCAAATAGCCTTAGAGTTAGATTTCCATTAATGTCTACATATCATTGCAATAGGGCATCCTTAACAATATAACCATATTAAAAAGTTAGCTCCTAAAAGCAAGTCTTCTATTTTGAGTGTATCTGTAGCACCGTTAGGAAAAAAAAAAAAGCAACATATTATAGGTTTATCAGAATGCCAAATAGATTAAACAAATTCTCCCAGTTTGGTCCATGGCTTTCTTATCAAGAGCCAGTGCTAATGTTATGAGATAAGAGTTGCTATACCAAACCACTGGGCATGTATTAATACATTCGTGGTAATATTTTGCCATATTTCTTCCCTTAAATAAGCAAGCAAATGTCTTGAAAGTATTTTAGATGTAATGTTCTCTCACTATTCTACTTAAAACTCTATCCTTTTAAGGAATTATATTTAATGGAACTTTAATAAAAATCAGGTGTGTGTGGTCTACTTTAATGATGAATACAAACAAGACCAGTATGTGGTAAGCTCTGCTAGCTTTTTTTTTTTTTTTTTTTTTGGTAACCCTCTGATTGAGACCATGTTAAGCCTAAATATATTAGTTTGGGGGAAGAGGACTATATAAATGAGAGAATAATTGCATAAAAGAGAATAACTACAGTTTAGTGTTGATTTTTAGGGTATCTGCATAACCTAAAATGAGAGTGTATTTGATCGTTGTTTGCATGTACAAAATCCAGCAAAGTTTATCTTTTCATTACATAAATACAGCACTTACATCTATTAAAATGTTACTGATATTGCTTTCCCTAAAAGGAAATTATAGGGCTATTATCTTTCTGATAAATTTCGTAGTCTCACCAAAATATCACATTGTGAGTGCCACAAGTTAGGGTATGAGGCAGGATGACAAACTATTACTAGAGATATGCATATCCTTTTCCACAAGGAAATATTGGGACTTAAATCCTTATACCTCATTTTTTTTTCCACAGAGTAAAAAGGAATACAGTTTTATCCAGAGTAAAAAGGAAAAAGGGTATTTCCTCCTTTTCTCTCAGTGTCTCTGGGCACGACAGCCTGGGATGCTAAAAGTAGAGTCTGGTTCTTGACTTGCCATGGGATAGAAACACATTTTATACTTCTCTTGCTTTAGTGTAAAATAATTTCCATGACACTCATAAGCCGTAACATCTCCAGGTACAAGCACGGGGCCTGACTTATCATTATATATCTATTACCCAAATGTGGAAGGTGCTCAGTATATTTGTTTTGGACTTAGGAAAGCAAGGCACATATAAAATTCTACAAAAAAGCCCTACAAAATTCTCAGCAATTAGCCTGCTTGATAATTAATAATTAATCTCAGTCATTTCTCTATTCCCCCAAAAGAATCTGTCTGGAAAATGTTTATAAGTTCAAAAATGTGGCTCAACCCAGGCAAGAGACAGATGTTTTAACTGCCCTATTGTGCAAGATTTGGTGAAGTTAATAAATAGATCGAATCTATTTTTACCTAGAAAAAAGATACAATTTGTGTGTGTGTTATAACTTTATTCATATATTTCTGTATATCTAAATCTGTGGACTATTTAGATCTACACTGCCTCGCATGATAGCCACTAGTTTACATGGCTGTGAAACTCTTTAAATAGAGTTGATCTGATTTGAAATGTATTGAAGTTTTGTATGTGCACACTCTCTTTCAAAAACTAAAGTGTGAAAAAAAATAACATCTCATTAATCATTTTTATATTGACTGTTGAAATGATAATATATTTGATATTTTGGGTTAAGCACAATATATTGTTAGAACTATTTTCACCTGCTTCATTTTACTTTTTCATAACATGGGTACTAGAAAATTTAAAATTGCAACTGTTTTTGTTATTCCATTTATATTGCATAGTGCATCTGTGGGACAAAAGTAAAATTGAATTTAGCATTAATGAAATGGTTGGAGATATTTATGGGAAGATCTTTGAGGACCAACTCATCTCCCTGGTGAAAGTATGGTTGAACTTGTGTACAGCAAGTCCTAATTCAAGCCTTTTKTCTGGCGTAATTATTAACAGTGACCCCAGTGATTTTCAAAGGAGTCCATTTTGTGGCACCCTGCATATAGCCCTATAGTTACTTTCATTGTTTGCTCAGTGGTAAGAGAACCATGGGAACACAATAGGCTCCATTCTTAGCTKCGGACACATTGCAGAGCAGCTTCTGTGTGGCAAGCTCCTGAGCTCAGGAAGGTGAGACTTCAGGTTCTATTCCATGTCTCAGATTCCAGAATTTACTGGATGCTTCCTYGATAACTTCAGCTATCCTGTACTTAATTCCCATTATTTGATAAGTGATGATGAATATGGGGAATGTGTGATAATGTAGCCATGTATCACCCATTACAAAAAATAATTGCTTTAAAAAAAATCTATGTTCAATTGCATTTCAGTCCAATATCCAAGGCAGGGGGAACAATCAAAATTTCCATCTCTTAAATAGTGTTCATATGTAAGCAATTCACAGATGGCAGGACCCCAAGTRGGTTATGTTCAATCATTCCCAAGAAATGAAACATAACCCACAGCATAAGACTCTGAAGAATGAATATTTGACACATTTGATTATGTTGAAATATTGCCTTGAAGAACACAGTTGATGACTGTTATTTTTAGTTGCAATTCATTAGGCCTACCATAGAGGGTAAAGTTTTCATTGATGCCCAGGGATGTGTGGTTTTTAAAAGTTAGAAAAGTTGCACTTATTTTTGGCTAAGTTATTACAAATTGGTTATTTAAGATGTGCACTCTGGAACATGCTGTAGTTTTAAAATGGGCCTAAATAAGAAATATCAAATTTTCTGCAGACTTCATGTTCTGTTTATATTGATAAGTAACCAAATCTCAATATTTGTTACTTAAGGTACCACCAGATAAACAGCACAGAAATTTGCTTCCTCTATTCCTCTTTCATACCAGAATAGTACAATTATTAATGTGCAGATAGCAATGGCTATTTATCTTCCAAGACAATAGCAAATCCAGTTCTACTGACTGCTTTTGAATTAAAGAAAGAGAATCCCGGGCACAGGATATTTCTTAGGGAAARTCTGCTTATGAGAAGTCTTACACCTCCCTTCCCTTGATTGCAACCTGGTGTTCTTGGCTTGAGGGCATGCCATAAAACCAGGTCCTTGAAATTGATGTTCCTGAATTTGCGGATGGAACAGAACTCTAAAACAGATGTGAGTTTTTTCTTAATATCCGGTTAACTACTATAGTTGTTTTGTGTTTTAATGACTGTTTATAGTTTTGAATTTAACCCTTAAGGCAAATTGATCCTGCAGGGCCAGTAAATTAAAAAGTGGATTCTTGAAAATTATAATACTGTGGTGGTTCTCAGATAGTAAAGGACATTGTTCTAAAACCCTTATTTATTTTGTATTTCCAAAATTAAGAAACTACTGGTCTGTTTTTGAAAACAAATGTGTCATATATAAGTAAAAATAAGCTGGCAATTTTGGTGGTTGTTAAATTGGAAGTCCATGGATGGGTTGCAGGGAGTCTGGTAACTCTGCAGTTGTATGCCATGGCATGCCAGTGTGTGTATGTGTGTTTATTTCTCTAAAGATTCTATCACTCTTTAAATTTTAAAACAAAAGAACAATATTAAGAACTATCAGTTTTTGGTTGGATAAAATAGTACATGGAAGCCACCAATTCTCAAAGTAGGAATGATGATAGAGATTAAACAGAGAATGATCTCTCTTCCCTGCAAATACATATTAAATAATTAAGATTATTTCATCACATTATCATCTTTTCTTACCAACACATAGCACAGAAATTCTGAATTTTAAGTTAAGTAGAAGCTTTTGAATTTCTGCACTGAGAGACCAAACATATCTGTTTATTCAGTAGCAGCATCATTTTTAGCAATTCTAAGATTGGGGTGGRGGACACAGACTAGTTATAAAAAGACACCCTAAAGGGATGTGTTTCAATTTGTCCAGTGTGTTATAATATTCTTTGCAGATTTGGGGATTTAA